GAAAAATAAAACTAACATAGACTAATCATTACTTCCAACAGGAAATGAGAAGTAGATTTCATAAAGGTTTGTTTCGTCCAGGAGTAAATTTAGAAATAATTACCTCTGTTTCTGTCCTCAGGAGAGTTTCACCACAAAATGGGAGAATGAAACAGAAACACTTACAAAATACAAGCTTCCTAACTGGAATCACATCAAATTTTAATTAAAAGTATTCCCATTCTAATTTAAGTGAAATATATCCAGGCCTTTGGCATATTACATGGGAATGAAGTACCAGCTGGTCATTAGAAAGTTGGAAAAATGTTTGCTGTGGCTTTAGAAACTGTGTGCGGTATTTAAATGGAAGTAGTATCACAACTGTGGGCAGTGATTAGATGGGGGAACTCTCATCCACACGCAACAAATCTGTCTGTCTACATCAAAGCATATTCTACACAGAGAAATGTCTTTTCTTGGACTTAAATGGTATAATTACCCAAGGACTAGCTAAAGCCAGAGAGCTGGAGAGTGGAGGGATCGTGAAATTGACAAATATCTCGTTGGCTTAAATACTGAGTTTAATCAGCTGTATTTTTAAGATCCTTTTCTGCTGTCATTCTGACAACTGAATCGGCATGTTGCTGAAAGGCACATGACAGCTTCGTGATCTTTGGTCTGGTCTGGCTCCTCTGCTTTGCTTTTCATTTGAATCTATGTTCTTTGTAGCGAAGTCGGGTTTGAAGCGATGCGAAGACCAGGCTGCTTGCTAAGCGCATTTGGATAGTTGTCATTGTTAACATACACCGATCAGCCATAATATTAAAATCACCTGCCTAGTATTATGTACATCCCCATCGTGCTGCTAAGGAAGGAATGGACTCCATGAAACCTCTGAAGGTGTCCTGTGGTATCTGGCACCGAGACGTTACCAGCAGATCCTGTAGGTTGTGAGGTGGATCTCCACAGCTTGTTTGTCCAGCACATCCCACAGATATTCAGTCTGATTGAGATCTGGGGAATTTGGAGGCCAAGTCAACACCTTGAACTCTTTTTGATGTTCCTCAGACCATCCCTGAACAATTTCTGCAGTGTGGCAGGGTGCATTATCAGGCAGAAAGAGGCCAATGACATTGGGAATACCGATGCCATGAAGGGGTGTACTTGGTCTGCAACTATGTTTGGGTAGGTGGTAAGTGTCAAAGTAACTTCTCCATAAATGGCAGGACCCAAGGTCTCCCAGCAGAACATGGCCCAGAGCATCACACTGCCTCTGCAGGCTTGACATCTTCTTATAGTGCATCCTGGTGCCATCACTTCCCCATTTAAATGACGCAAAAACACCGGCCGGCCACATGGTGTAAGGAGAACGTGACTCATCAGACCAGGCCACCTTCTTCCATTGCTCCATGGCCCAGTTCTGATGCTCTCGTGCCGATGGTAGGCGCTTTGGGCTGAGGACAGGGGTCAGCAAGGACACTCTGACTGGTCTGCAGCTACCAAGCCAGATACAAAGCAAGCTGTGATACACTGTGTGTTCTGACACATTTCTATCACAGCCAGCATTAACCTTTTCAGCAATTTATGCTACAGTAGCTCCCATGTAGGATCAGACCAGACAGGCTGGCCTTCACTCCCCACGTGCATCAATGAGCCTTGGGCACCCATGACCCTATGACCGGTTCACCGGTTGGCATTCCTTGGACCACTTTTGGCAGATATTTTGGTATCGACCACTGAAATCCAGGAACACTCCACAAGACCTGCTTTTTTGGAGATGCTCTGACCCAGATGTCTAGCCATCACAATTTAGACCTCGTCGCTCAGATCCTAACACTTGCCCATTTTCCCTGCTTCCAGCACATCAACTTCAAGAACTGACTGTTCACCTGCCTGACATAAAATGGCACCCTTAGCAGGTGCCAGAGTAACGAAATAATGTAAATAATTATCTTTATATGCATTGCCGTGTTTCACAAAGACACATTTTCTGTCCCGTGAATCCTCGTGAAAGGACACCTCGCGTTGTTGCAGTGAAAATGTACCAAAGCCTCAATTTTTGCAACATTTTTAAAGTAATGGCCGCATTTTCTGTGCTTGTTGTCATCTCACACAATGAAACAAACCAGCCCTATGTAAGTATACGTAAATTCAAGGAGACGTCACGGTAATTGCAGGACGGGAGGGATAGCTGTAAAAGCTAAATTCATTACGTATCACACACTGTCACCACTGGCATACAAATAAATGTGTTTTCATAGGCCACAGTTTTAATTATGTTTAATATCTATTTTGGTAAATGGAGATATGCCATTCCTCAAGTTTACTTTCATTGGAATGCCCCAGTGACACTGGTGTTGTGCATTTTACAGTAAATATGAAATTGATGCTTTAAATTGAGGTTTTTCTTCTTTTCAAGCTACAATAAGGCAAGTGGTAAAGTCTTCTGACCGTGAAGCTGTTTGAACTCGCGTATCTCCTCGTCAGTCATTGCTGTGTTCAGGCGGGAAACACACCAGGCCAGATGTGGACCCAAAAACACCCGCGTTTCTCAGTACAGCTGGACGTCATATGTCCCTACCTGCTGTTACCATAGAAACAATAACTCACGTGAAGTCAAACCCGATTAATCTGCTCACAATGTAACCGCTGTTTATAAGTGAGGCAAAACTCTTTCAAAAATGAATAACCCCCCCCCCCCCCAAGTCTCTGTTTAACGAACTCCACTGAATAATGGAAGGACGTAAGTAAAAGTAGATTCCATACCAAAACACTACTCAAGTAAAAGTAAAAAACATACTGTTTTGGAGTACTTAAGTAACAACTACTATGCATTAAAATCTATTGATCTTACAAAAAAACAACCTATTCTTTTAAATAACTGACATTGTAAGCTACAGTGCAGCACAGTAAGGAGAACTGACTCGCATATATATAATTCCTTTATTCAGAAAAACCGGTAAACTTGCCGTGCTTGCTGGCGCAGATTAGCAGAATGAATTTTATTCTGGGGAAAAATAAAGATCGATCTATGGACCAGATTTAATAATGAATCACAAACATTTCTCAGATCAGTAGCCTACTTACAGAGCTCTTATAAGTGGTGAATAATCCAACAGAAACTCGAGTTTTTCAATAGGCTACCGAAAATGCATCCATCCGTCCATCCATTTCCTGTAACTGCCTGTCCTATTCATGGTGATGGGGGTCCGGAAAACGACTGATCGTCCAATGCTATCACCATGCTTGAGTTCAGTAGTAGCTCTAGTGCTGCTAACTTCGAAAATCGATAAAGTTAAAATATCAACACCGGCAGTTTCGGTATGTTGCCCAATATGTCGTGCATCTCTACATATTGCTTGTTCAATACATTCAAAAAGGCAATACGTAATGCAAGATAATAGTAATAATAATAGAAAGAATGAAATACTGCTCCTGAATCGTGAGAGAATATCGCGCTCTAGCTCCGGAGTTGATTCATAGAGCTATTTTAAGCAGAATCGTGCAGCCCTTATCAGGTGCGTTGTATGCAATAGTAAGCTACACCTATATTTTTTAATTGTGAGGATTACAATAGTCGTACAGAAGGTACTGGAGTAAAAAGTTGTTATTCAGTTAAGAAATATAACGAAGTGAAAGTAAAAGTTGCAACAACTAAAATTACTTAAGTACAAATCCGTAAAAAAAAACCTACTTAAGCAGGTCTGCACTGCCGAAGTATTTGTTCTTCGTTACTTTACATCTCATGGGGGGGGGGGGGGCATTTCATTTGATGGAGTTTGTGCAGTGAGCTCACCTCCCAGAGACAGATGACCTGGAGCTGGACCTAGACCTTGGTGAGGATTGTAAATCCTCCTTAGGCAAGGAGGCCACTATTATGTGAACAACAAAGGGATGAAGGAGTTTAGAGGAGAGAGAGAAAAGCCATCTCACTCGCATAATGTGCTATATATGGGCGGCTTTGGTGACAGACAGCAGCATTTGCCATCGTTCTGCGGCTCTTTGCAAGTGCTGAGGTTCGATAAACATGTTCCTGAGATCCAGGTTCGCACTATAAATTTAGGAGAACATTGCGGTCCATTGCTGGGACATGAGTGGAGGCCCGGCAGAGCGCCTTGTAAAAATACTGACCCAATTGCAGCCTCTGAGGGTCCTTCCTCGCCCATTGCCCAACACCGCATGCATTTATTTTCAGAAATTCGTCCAGATATCAAGTCATTCAGCCCAAGCCGCAGGTCAACAATCCAAATTTAATGTTTACCGAGCCGATCTTTGCAGTGAAATAAAAAGTAAACTCGTTTCGATTTATATTGCTTTTATATTTCTGGAAAATGGTTATTGTAATGTTAAAATTGCTGCAAAACGCAGGTAACCTTTGACTGATAAAGGACTCTGGCGAAATGTTAAACGGAAGGCGGCAGAATGACAGGTCGTTGATTACGGTATAATTTCTCGTTTGATAAAAGCCAGCCAGAATAATGAATACTGTTAGGGCCCTGAATTTAACCTAAACGTATCTTACTTTGTTTATTTGATTTATCTGCATCATATCGATAAATTGATTGATTTCCCCATTCTTTAATGTAACCTGTCGATGGGACAGTGTTTACTAATAAAGAATTAAAAGCAGTGTGGATATTTATGTAATGTAGTGCAATGTAGACAGTTTATATGGAACAGTAGTAAAAATATATATGAAATTCATACTGAGAGAACTGTTCTTGTTTTCTGTACAAACTAACGTTAGAAAGTTCTGTAAAAAATAAGTCCTTAATGATAATATAATGTATTATTGCGGCTGCTTAGACTATATGAGACTCATCGTTTTAAATACAGTTATAGTGTATTGGGGTGCTGTGCGGAGAATAATTGATTTAAGAAACAGGAAACCGGGAAACGTCGCCCACCGATTTTATGAAACGATTTACCACCGCCCACCACACCCCCACCCCCGGGGTGCAACTAGGGGGGCGATGACGTCACTGCGCGGCCCCGTCTGCGGCTTTTGGGGAAAACGGGCAGGTCTGCGGAGATGCTGGATGTTGTCGGTCCCATCTGACCCAACACTACAAGTTGCTGTTAGTCCCGGATCTCGACACCCTGCAGGCTATTCCCGGGGCGGCACGGTCGTGATGCTGCACTGTAGGGTTTAAACCTCACTTTCCCGGGTATTTTTCATGGCTTTAAATTCTCACTTGGAAAAAAAAACACTAAAGGACTCGTCTTACCGAAGAAATTTCAATGCGAGAGAGCGATCAGTGAGACTACAGCGCGGGGATATGCAAAAAGGCAATGCGTGCTGTATTGATCATGTTTTTTTTTCTCTTAATGGACAAAATGCAGGACAATTAAATTAAAATACACGTTTGAGGGGCGCACTTGAGATCGGCGTGACATTGCCGGACAGTGCTGGGTCTGTGCTCGCGGGGAATGAGGGTCTGCGCAGACAGAAGGTGAAGCTGACATCGCCCTGCTCCCACCCAGACCGCTAAGTTTCCCGGAAAATTGGGCTCTGGAGCCGGTGGCACATCGGGAACCTTCCCCACTTTTTAAGGCGGGATCTTGCGCCCGTTTCTGGTCCATGGATTGTCCGCGTCCTGGTCGCTTCCCGGTGGTTTACAGAGGGCGCCGCTTTGCTGCGGAGTATCGGGCTCTCCGTGCGCACTTTTCTTTGGTGAAGACGCCGGACGGGATGGATGTCTCACTGCTTCGCTGAAGATCGCCGGCTCCTTCCCCCGGCTTTGCCCGACTTTCTCGCCACCATGCAGCTGCTCCGAGTTGCCTGGGCTTTCGCCGGAGCGGCGATATGTTGCTTCATTATTTTCCTCTTCCACTCGCACTTCATGAAGGAAGGTAAATCGTGTATTTTTTTATCCTTCCTCTTCGTTTATATGCGGGCATTTCGGGCGCATCCGTGGCGTTAAACAAATGCACGGCATTAATTTTGCATTTATGTCTCCCCGTTGCATCGCCATTGCGTGCGTCTTTTGCGCAGTGTATAATGAACACGCTCCTGCCCCAAGCATTATTCCCAGACCACTTTTTTAGACTGAAATGTCAACGAAATACTTACGGAATGTGAAAACTGTGTAATGCCCATCCCAGTGGCTGGAGCACTGCCTTAAAGGCGGTGTATTAATCTCAACAGGTTACACTTAATCGCCCGGGTACAGCAATCGTTTCAGTCCTTTGCGTTTCGCCCTCGGCAGCCGGACTAAATCACCGCTGATATAATGTTACGTCTTGAAGTTTAAAAAACGGTAGCTTTGCGGCAGAAAGTGCTGATATATTGTGTGGGTTTTCAATAGATGGCACTAGAGTCTTGCTGCGGGCCAGTGTCAGGGTCAAACTGTAATTATTTCCCTCTTTTTATCCGCGTTTCTGAGGCATATTCTTGGCGCTGGGTAAATTTAAGCGGGCTGCACACACACACGCGCGTAACAGACCCGTATAGATCTAAAATAATCTATTGATCATAAAATAATTACGATGGACAATGAATTTCAAAGCTTTTAAAGATCATTTAATTTTATTTAAATATTTTTGAATTTAATATGATCACTAAAAAGCGTCAATCCGGGTAATTTCTTTAATAATCTGTATATTGGCACAGGCGCGCTATAAATAGGGTAAATTCAATAACTGTGGCATAAAGTAACGTTATAATAGCCGTATGGTGTCATATTCAGTAAAATTTCGGAGGTAATACCGATCTTGCAAAACCATATAAACAAAAATTGGAATGAGCTACGATCTGTCTCACATTAGTGTTTATGGTTATTTTGTAATTACAATAGTGAAAGTATTTTTTCACGTGTTTACAAACATTTGGGTTTCGTTTAACCTCGTTGCGTTTTTATTTTCGAACTTAAATAAGTTTAAAATGCAATGCTTTTCCTGACACCCGGTTTGGCTTTTCCCCGCACGCATGTCTCTGTAATGCCGCCGCTGCTGGATGCAGTCGAGCCGGCTTGCGGAGATGAACAATCGCCGCTTGTTCCCGGACCAGTGAGGGGCCTCATTGAAAGAGACCCCCGCCTGCACACTCACTGCTTTGTCTGCGGCTCCGGGTCAACCTGTGGCCAAATCAAGAGCCCTCAATACCCGGAACCCACCTTGTGGGGCGGAAAAAAGGAAAAACGGATCCGGGAGAGAAAGAGAGAGAGAAAGACACCCCCAACTTCATCAGAAGCATTTCACATATCTGGCAACGTGATGATAAGTGTTGCTTTAAATGTCACCAGATCGACTCGCACTGTCAATGAACCAGATCGCATATAAATAACACGTATGAACCTGTAGATGCATATACGTATTCGCCATCCTCCCCTTACTCTAGATTATAGCTTTTGATGTGATTTTTCTCACTCATCGCTTCTGCACACGTCTGTACGTGCCGGGGGGCATGGAACCCCTCGCCGCCGGGATGCCGAGGCGCCTCGCCCCGTTTCCATGGATCATAGGATGATGCGTCGCCCCTGTTTGCTTCGGCTGCGCTGGTGAAATCATGCTTAAGTGGTGTTTTAATTGTAAATGAATCAGCTTTGAATATTTGTTGTTGTTTTTTTAATAGATCGGTAGGTTATACAGATTTTCAGCCAAGATTCCAGGGAAATCATCCCAGTCCCGATGTATAATCGACGTATCATTTCATCGGGTTTGATTTGCTTTTATTCATAACCACTCAGGAATACGTGACTGGCCAAATGCAGCTCTTGACGGCCACGGACTGAGATTCTCTTTTATTTTTATTTTACCCGCAAATAGCTGCTTTGATGCTATTATTCCTTGGCTGAGTCACTGCTGCCTGAGGTTTGAGGTGCAGGTCAGTCACTTGTTGGAACCAGTTAATAACCCGCCCATAAATACCCTAAAATCCATCTCCCCGATGTTACAGCACCCCAAGTAAGTCAGTGACATGAGGAGTAAAGTGTACTTTGAGATCACCGTTTACAAAACACTCTGATTTGTTTGATTTTGAGGGCACGGGGGAGGGGTGCATCTATGGAATCCATTGAGGCCTTTTTATAAACATCTGGCCCAAAGGCAAAAAGCTGTCTTCAGAGCTGGAGGAAGGATACAACTCTTCCACCATGATTAGCACCATTTGTAATAATCACAAAGAGCCACTGTAACGGAAGGCGTCAGCGCCCGCAGCGTGCTAATGGCGTGATGTCAGCCGACGAGCGGCGACCACGACACCTGTAGTAAATATGCAGCACCACCGAAGTGCATTACTGACCCACAGTGCAGGCAGTTTCACCGTGGAGCCGCACTTGGGGCTGAAGAAGCTCTAAACATTAGCACCTCCCGCCCCCCAGCTCGGCCATGCATAAACACCTGCGCACCATGCATTTCTCCGCTCGGCACTCCTTTGGTGTCGAGCTGCCATAGCCGAGGTTGCTGCCTTGCGTCAAGGACAGAGCGAGTACGGTAAAGCGATCCGCATGGCTGCCTGGCCGTAAGATTTATGAGTTTGGACATTGTTGAAAATGATTAAACTGTGTCTGCTGATAGGTTGACAAGGTGCTGCGCCGTTGCGGTGTGATATTTTAACCTTGTGAAGGTTCGCATCGGTGTGAGCGTTCTCGTGTTTGTACCCTGTCTTTAGGAGGGTTCATCTCCCACATGTGAGCTGGTGACGAGCTTCTGGTTGAGGTTCGTAAAGGAGCCATGTGAAGTGTGTATGGAAGGAGGCCATGTCTGTTTAGCAGAGGAGCTTTTGGGTACTGGGTGCGCCCTCATTCCAGGTCACAGCGGGATGTGTGTAGGGCGGGTCATCTTCAGACCAGGGGTGGGACAGCAAGGAACCCCTCTGCCCTCAAACAAGGATGAATTTTGAGAAAATGTCTTCACAAAGGTGTACCTTCTTTTAATAGAAATCTCAGCATGGCAGAATTGTTTTCATGGGAATGGGAGTCATTAATTACATTAAAATGCGAGTCAGTAGGGAGTCCCTTGAGAAATGGAGGGGTGTATGTCTGATGGGGTGTGTGTGGGGGTGGGGGTGGGGGTGCCGCGTCTGAGACCCATCCCTGTCTGACATTTCCTGTCAGCATGTCCCTCAGCGGCAAGATGCTCCAGCTTTCATGTCTAGATGTCAGCCATGACAGTTTAAAAAAGGAGGAAATGTGAATAAATAACCAATTTCCTTGCATTACGGTCATTAACTAGGAACCGTTTACAAAAGAACCGTGATGCTCAGATGCATTTCCCAGACGCACTCAAGGGCATTCAGGCTTCCTGTCTCCATATGAGCTTTCATATTTGCGGTTTCATCCATGTGCATTAAGATCAGACTTATTCAGTATCACTGAGTCAAGTGCTGTCCTGCAGAACATCTGTTAACCATCCTGGGCCATCAAGGAAGAGGTGCTGATTTCCATAAAAATCCCAAGATTATTTAAACATCGTATCAGGGCTTCCTGTGTACTACAAGAAACGGCACGTCACCACAGAGCTGGGCGGCGGAGATAATAACGATCATCACCGGGGGGCGCCAGGCTGTCGTCTCGGCCCCCAACCGCGTCAAAAGTAATTTCAAATAGATGATTATTTCTTTGTCCAGACCCAAAGTTAAACAAGACGATTGTCATTCTCTGTGACCCCATACCTTGGACTCTTACATTGTTGTTCTTATTTTCAATTTAGACCGAATTAAAAGAAATGACATTTAATGAACATCTCATAACTGCAGTTGTCACATTCTCTAACTCCCCGATCTTTGAATAAATTGCATGCCGGCCATGATTTAATCACGGGCGAACGCGACCGGGAAGCGCGCATCACTCCCCGGGAAGGTGGAGAGCAATATCGCCCCCAACCCACACCCCCGGTGGTGTTATAATTCCATTACACGCGGTGATGAGCAGATTTGGCTTGACGCTGGAGCTGGTCGCCCGGCTGAGTGGCCCATGAGATGAAAAGCCAGGGAGTGGGTGGAGCAAAACCATGTTTCAAAATGAAAACGTGCACATTCTGTTTATCTAGAGCATAAGGATGGAGGACGAGACTCTGTTTTGGATTAGCTATAGGGTGGATAGTGGGTCTCTATTCTGGTTTAGCTATAGGGTGGATAGTGGGTCTCTA